AAAAAAAAAAAAAAAAAAAAAAAAAAGGTGGGGGGGGGCATAAAAGGGAGTGTTTTAATAGAGTACAAGAAAGATGGCATAGTGAGAGACGGCACAGCCCTGTAGAATCTTGTTCACACATTCAGAATTCTATCTTTATATATAAAGATGATGTTACTATCGCAGCATCAACAGAGCCTGTTGTTAATATAATGGAGATGATGGCTTTGTCTGCTTACCTAACCCCCTTTGTGACATTAGATCATAGCCTTTGGGGACAAGAATAGAATAGAGTAAACCAAACTGGGCCAATGAGGAGACCAGGTCTGTAGCCTTGTTACACAGTTGTCTGTATTCAGCGAATACTGATTCTTACATAGAGTCAATTCTGTTATTCCTGCTAGTAAGAAGCATGAGTGAAAGAAATACCAATCTTCATTTTGCCAAGAGTTTCAAATTTCCCGGACAAATGTTTGACCAAACCTTGGGTTTCTTTCTCACGATTCTCTTTTGAAACTAGGCAACAGGTAATGAAGCAGAGCCCCCAGTTAATCCGGTGGCCAAGTAATTAGCCATTGAATACTGAAGACTGACACCAGATACCATTTTAGGGATCCCCCATTTGACAGATGTCATTTAAAGAATTAAATCCATAGGTGTTTCCAGATGAAGGGTAAAAAGGCTTTGTGTAATTATATATTAACAAATATAAAGCTTAACTAAACTGCCTTTATTAACAAAACTGTCTTATAGACTGCCGTGAACTAAATTGCCTCTTAGTCTTTCAGTTATGGAAGAAATTTCTGTTTCTTTGTCTTAATAATGGGACAGAAGTAAGACTTGAGGCGAGTAGATCTCTTGATTTAGCTGTAGTCGTGGAGGCATCTTAGGTCTGAATGGCAAAACTAGTGAAGACGTTGTCTACAGAAAATGGCCCTTCACCCTGGTACTTCTGTTGCAGCTCAGAACAGCTACGTAATAGGAAAAAGTAGAATCAGTAGCCTGCAACTTCCACTGGGAAATTTAGAATGTTTAAGGAACAAAACATGATATGATATAAAGAAAAGTAGACTAGAAGTAAGAAATCTTCACTCTACCGTAATTCACCATGTTTATTATTTATAGTTTCCTTCCTTAGTATGTGTATTTTTCAAGCTACCACAAATAGTTCATGGGAAGAGAAAGTAGTAGATAAAGAAAAAAAATCTCAGAACTAGTTCATGTCCTTGAGCAAGTCATTTCACCTCTCTGGGCCTAAATTTCTCATGTAGGAATTGAGAAGTTGGACAAGACTTCTAAGGACGTTTTCAAATGTCAAATTCTGGGGCTAAGTAAGTTTCCATAAACTGTCATTGATTTCCTTACTTACTTATCCTTTTTTTAAAATCTAACTATTTAATCTGGGCCTTTGCTGAATGGGGGTAGGTGGGTGAGGAAGGAGACAAGGTTTTAGCTTTCTGGGTTAGTGAGTAAGGGAACATGGAATCTTGCACTGTTTTTAAAAAAATATTTCATTGATTGTAAAATTTTGAAATATTTTAAGATATATTTCCCTCCTCTTTCCTGCCCTTGCGTCCGTAGTCTTTTTAGAGGTAAAAAGAAATAACAAAACACAGAGTTTAGGTCGTGCCTACTGAGATAAGTTTGGCCAACTGGTGTAACTTTTTCAGAAAATACTCTTATGGCAATAAGCAGATAGGTAAAGCCCTTTGGACTCTGGCCTTTCAGGTGCCTGAAACCTCTTTGCTTTTATTTGAACTATTTGTTTTTCTAACTCAGATGCAAATTAAACTTCCTTTTCTTAAGCCTGACTAATATATGAAAAATGTAGAGAGCTCTTCATTGTCAGAGCCTAGTTTTCCTTTGCTTGCCTTTTTCCCTGCTTCCCGCCTTATAGACAGCCTCTTTCCATTCCCAGTGCCTTAGATTTCGGTGCTCCTAGCTTGGGAGTGAGGACCCACAGAGAGTGGTCTCTGGCGCTAATGGGGACTCTTCTCCGGGTTAGGCCAGCTGTTGATGGCACTCCAGTAGGGGACTGGCTCTTCATGATAGAAAATCTGACTTCAGCCTTTGGCCTCACCACAAGGGTAGATAGTTTGTGGAAAGGATAACTTTAATTGTATTCTTTAAATTCTTTTTTTTTTAAAAAAAAACCTGAACTATACCACCATGCAGAAAAATTCATAAAACGTAAATGCTTAGCTTAATGATTATTAAAAGCAAACGAACATCTATGACAAGAAAGAACATTAGTAGCACTTCAAGGTATTATTTGTCTTTTTAAATAAAGCGTTTTTCAATTGATTAAAAATAATGTGCTTGTTCAAGTTCACTTGCATATCTTCACTGGCATTACTAAGACGTCTTACTAACCAGGCCTTTCACTGGGCCAAATTAGCGAGGTCTCCCCTACAAGGAAGCACGCTGGGAATCAACCCACATATTGAAATATCCTGAGAGTAGAAAGGACTTTAAGAGGACATTCCCTTCCATTTGTTTCTTAAGGGCTGCCTTAAATAATTCTTGCAAAGTAGAATTTCTTTTCTTTGCTTAATGGTACAAGTGGGTTTCTTTATTTTTTCCTCATAGGTCTTGTTTTCTACCTGATTAATCATTTTTGTGACTCTCATAGAAACTGGTTTCTCACTTCCTTCTCTCTTTATTTTAGAGGGTGAAAGAGAACTAGTTCTCTGTTGTGGATTTCACACTGTCCAGGGACACAGGGTCATAAAACATGTGTATCACGTTTTCAAGATACCATTGTACCAGCTGGTGCTGGTTTGAGCTATCTATCCTAAGCTTCTTGGTGGTGTCCATATTGCATTTCACCTGACTTTCCCGGATGGCCCCCAGAACGATCCAGATCATCCTCTCTTTGGACTGTCTCAGAACTCCCAGTGCTACAACATTTTCCTTGCCTCTTGGTACTTTGTTCGCATGTCTCCATTCTTTGGCTTTCTTGTTTTTCGAGTGTCACCTGAAAAGAATTGAATTTACAGGACATTTAAACTTTTTAATTTATTTAATTTTTAAAATAGGTAATATATTTACATGGTTAAAAATTCAATAAAAGGTATTCAGTAAAAAAGGTATTGAGTAAAAGTCTCCCCTTTACACTTCTCTCTCCTCAGCCCACTTCCTGCCTCTCTGCCGCAGGTAACCATTGTTAGTAGTATCTTCCAGAGTTTCTTTATACTGCATATGTACAACCAAAAACAAATAGGTATTTTAGGAACTTGAGCCGTCCTGAATGCCTTTGCTCTTGGTTTTCTTTCTATTTTATTAAGCCAATTGAAGTCTTAATTTTATTTGTTTTCCCTTCTTTCATACTATGGAATCTTAAGTTTTATCAGGGTAAATTCTCTGTTCATTTCTCCCCTTCCACATGCTTTTTGGTAAATCAAATCAAGGACTTCTTCTCTATTGCTTGAAGTGTCTTTCTATCTTTACTACAAAATATACTCTCCAATGCTTAATAATAACTTGTTGAATTTTAAATGGCCGTGTTTAGTCCTAAGAACTGTCTTAAGTGGGGCAACAAGAAAGTCAGTGTATTAAGTTGAAAGAAGACCTTCAGAGTTGGCTCCTACCCTTTTTTCCTGTTTATTAAAACCAATAATTGTTATTGGTGTCCTTTTTGTTCTGTGGATATGCCCTCCCATAAGAAAGCCCTGTAAGCAAAAATCCAAATTACAGGATTGATTATGTTCCTTTAAATTGGGCACATACCTATTGCATTAAAAAATTACATATGGTTTCCCAAAGTTCATTTTACCTTCAAGTTTTCATGTCTGTCTTTTCCTGCAAATTGGAGTCAACCTAGAATCAAAGAAAATTAGAATATGGTAGGCTTAGACATCATCTAGTTCAGCCTCCTCATTTTATAAACTTAATAAGGTGAAATGCTTTGTCAAAAGTATTTGCGAACACCTCCTAACTCTCAGTTTGTTACAACATATTTCTAGTTTTCCACTTTTCTAATTTTTCATTGATCGATCCTCAGCCTCGGTTGGCTCAGTCCTTCTGAAGTGAGGCATGCAGATACGGAGAGAGAAAAAAACCCTGCTTTTTCATTCACATCCCTTATAATCCCTGTGGTTTAATAGCCCTTCTTAGGATGGGTCCTAAGAAATGCAGTGCTTCTGGGGGAAAGGATGGCATTTGTGTTAGCTCCAGTACTTTACCTTCTCAGGTGAAGGAGCTCTGAGTAGTCTAGCGGCCTAGACGACTTGTTCCAGAGACATGGGCTCAGTATCGATACTGCTACCACTGTTCAGCTGGACATGTAATTTGGAGGGAATTTTACTTCACCTCTTCACATATTTTTGCTTTTTAAAGGAAGATTATTTCTTAGCCCCCGCCAACCCCCCAGCAGAATGATATAGTGAAAAGAGCACTTAACTGGGAATAGAAAAACCTCATTTTAGTTCTGCCATTGCCTCTTGTCTGCCCTTGGCCAAATCACTTAAATTCTCTGCGCTTCAAATTTCCTTACCTACAATATATGCAAGGTAAGAGTTGCGCTTATGTCTATATCTTTCTAATTGTATTTCACATATTATGCCTGTCACATATTATGTTTTATCTGTTGCAAACTATTCTGTTGCCCTGGTGCCGCCTGCCTTCTGGTCTCCATCCCCTTCTTCTGG